GATTCCCTTATCGAGGTCTTTAATCTGAATGAGAAGTATTATGACTACGCTGTCCTCTGCACCTTCATGTCCCTTTTCCTGCAGGTCAACATGTACAGCAGCATCTTCTTTCTCACATGGATGAGCTTTGACCGATACGTTGCCTTAGCTAACTCCATGAGCAGCAGCCCGCTGAGGACTATGCAGCACGCCAAGCTGAGCTGTGGCCTCATCTGGATGGCCTCCATCCTGGCCACCCTTCTCCCTTTCACCATTGTGCAGACCCAGCACAGGGGTGAGGTGCACTTCTGCTTTGCCAACGTCTTTGAGATTCAGTGGCTGGAGGTAACCATTGGCTTTTTGGTGCCCTTCTCTGTCATTGGTCTATGCTATTCTCTGATTGGGCGGATCCTCATGAGGGCCCAGAAGCACCGTGGATTATGGCCACGGCGGCAGAAAGCCCTGCGCATGATCGTGGTGGTGGTTCTGGTGTTCTTCATCTGCTGGCTGCCAGAGAACGTTTTCATCAGCATCCAGCTGCTGCAGGGGACAGCTGACCCGTCGCAGAGGACTGCTACCACCCTGTGGCATGACTACCCACTCACAGGCCACATTGTTAATCTGGCAGCTTTCTCCAATAGCTGCCTCAACCCTATTATCTACAGCTTTCTTGGAGAAACCTTCAGGGACAAACTGCGTCTCTTCATTAAGCAGAAGGCCAGCTGGTCAGTAGTGAACCGCTTCTGCCACCACGGCCTCGATTTACACCTCCCTGTCAGGAGCGAAGTGTCGGAGGTGTGACTGTTAAGAAGAGGGACAATTGTTATGAAACTGAGTGCACAAAATATGTTAACAATTCTTCATCATATCAAAGTGATATATCACCCAGTGTGAAATATTACCTCAGCTTTCTTCATCTGTTTTTTTTAGCTTTGCCTCATAGTTGTACCAGTGTCTCAGTTAACCTGCTCACTTTCTGAACAAAAGCACCAAGAATGTACACTCATAGAGGGATGAAAATTATTTGATGTATGCATCTCTTTGAGTTGATAGCAATGTGCCTACAGTAGGCTACTTATCTGTTTATCTGCACATTGGATTTGGACATGTATTTGGTGTGGACTTCAGGTGGTGGGCAACAGTAAATTGCTAGTGAGTAGCAAAATGTCAGCATCTAACCTTGAAGTACAGCCAGTGGGCAAAGATAACTAATGGATAGAGAAGTGTCAGAAGAGACCAGTTTTTGTATAAGACAGACAGCAATGAAATCTTTTACATGGTATGATCTATAATACAGACCTTCATTTCAGTTAAAAATCCATATGTACTGTCATTTGTATAATGTAAAAAGAAAAACAAGGCCTAGCTAGTTTTGTACATGGTTTCAAGTCTTACATGGAATAAATAAAGGGTTATGTAGCTACAACCTTTATTTCTTATTTGTTATATTGAACTTTTTTATGTGGGATTCATCTCCAAAATCTGATGTCTGAGTTCATACCTACTGTGGTTAATGTAGTAATGCTCAATTCAAAGACAGATGAGTTATTATCCCACTTGTCAGTTCCTTTTAACATGATGGTAGAGCAAAGAGGCAGGTGTTGTTTTGCCAGGAGGGAACAAGACTGCGTAAACACATCTTTCAGTGACATTCAATTGACACCATGAAGCTGCTTCAATCTTTTGTTCTTACCCGTCTTTTACATATATTGCACTGATAAACAGCAATGGCCAACTGTAGATGTAAGTAATGGGCCCATGACAAACTGTTTTCTATGTAAAACATAATTCATCTGCACATTTGTGGCTTGTTTTTCTGTCTGAACTGATTCAGCTATTTTTTTTTTCAGTTAATACAAATACTAAAATCAAACACACGACATCAGACATATTTTGATACTCATAGTGATCCCATCACTAGTCATCACTGGATGTGTGGATTCTCTCATCATTTGCAATTTCATAAAATTCTTTTGACAGTACAAAGCTGCTCATTAACACATTGATTACAGGTTAATGTAATGCAGATTACCAGGACACACAGGTGCAGGTTTAAGATTTTAAATTCCGATCAGAGCCTCAATAGCAGAGGTTTTTATGAAACCTGCTATAACATTTTACAGCCTCAAATTATTTGTTGATCTGTCAGAGGAAACATAAATTATTTTTCTGTAATATTCAATTAAATTCAACAGTGCTCACAGTTAACTGCATTACATGAAATATAACAGGGTGTATAGAATATCCCCCTTTTTTATTTACATTTTTGGAAAAACAAACACTGCATGTCCAACAGGTTCTGTGCATTAGGAAGAAAGAGGTGGATGTATTATGTAGCACCAACAAAAGGTACAGTACAGGAAACTCTATCACACCTATGTTGATGAGTGTACATCTATAGGACTGTATAAAATCTGTGCATTGCCAGCCTGCGGTGGGCCTGAGCTGTGTTTGTGCATGAGGCAGCCAGAGATAATGGCCTGAATGGGAAAACAGGAGTCCAAACCACAAACTGTTATTCCAGCTGTAACAGTCCCAGCAGCCTGGGAACGCAGCACTGAGGATCACTTGAGTGATTGTTTATAAGAGTTTTGCAAAAAATGCTAAACTCGTTGTGGTAAGTGAAGTTTTGCATGAGTTTTTTATCACACAATGTTATGTCCTTCCGTGCAAGTAAGCATTCATTCATGACAAAGGCAGGTTTAACTATAGCTTATATATTTGTATTTGTATTTACACACGAAGGCTAGAATTGTCTGTAAACAGCATGCCTTTCAGAGCCACAGAGGACACAAAGACAGGAAAACAGGCAATGAAAGCTGCCTACTTCATTTATATGAACAAGCAACACCTAGACACCAGAGCCAAGACCCTCCAAGTTCACCACTGTGGGAGAGGCAATGGATCATCTTCACATCACACATGCAAACACACACATTCGGGATACTGTGAGAAGACGTTGACAGTAGACTGTGTGTACAGCTGAGGCTACTAAGTAAGGTTAAAGGTTTGTGGTGACTGACGTCACAGAATGGAGAAAGGGTGTGACTTTCCCTTTGCTTACATTCAATACTTCCTTTGGATGATGGTATAATTAAACAATGAGTCTGTGAGCAAAAAATTAATTTGGTTAAATAAAACATAATACTATATCTGTTGGTTATTCTTGCATAATATTGGGCAAATTAACATGTTAACTTTTAACTTTAACTTTATTGTCCACCTTAGTGGAAATTTGTCTGGCAAATTTGACTTCTCTAAAACAAAAATACAATCATGACTCCAAAATTATCACACATATAAAAAAAATACACAACACAGTTAAGAGTTCAACACAGGACCACCACTAAACATACAACAACAATTGTGCCATGAACTGAAAATAGAAAGCAGCGCAGCAGGTGGAAATAAAGTAGGTTACAGCCAACAAGAAAACTATAAATTTATGACAATCTGGCACTCTGCTTTGGCTGCTTAAAATTTGCACAAAATAAAGCAGGCAACATATGATTCTAAATAAAGGCAAGCACCCTTAAAAATGTTCTAATGTAAGAAAGGTACTGGACATTGTCTAAGCTGAGTGGGGGTGGGGCATATCAAAGTAATTACAACTGGATAGTTCAGGGTTGATGCATAATTACAAGGTAGTGTACTCGGTGGACCTCAGCAGCTAAATAATGGATTAGACATATAATTGCATTTGTAAATTAAAATCCCTTACAGGAAAGAGGAGCTGAATAGAACAGATTAGCTTCCCAATACAGACGGAAAGAAAAAGGACTGGAGTTTGACATGCTGTACGATGAGGCGGACACATTCAAATTGCTTGATGCCAATATATTGTATATTAAGGCACTTGAAAACAAAATTAGATTTTTAGCGCCAAAACTTAAATCACAAAATTGCAAATTGATGTTGAAGGCAGATCATAGAGTGATCGGAATAAATACAAAAGTAAACTTCTTGTAGTGTCTACTAGTGAACCATAAAAGAAAAAGCTTAAGGACTCTGCAATGCATGTTATATTAAACAAGCTCTGCTCTGCCAGATTAGTTGCTTTATAATTTCCTAAATAAGATCAGACTTACTTTATTTGTTACTCGACAAAGAACACATGCATTAACGCATGCATTACAAAATACTGTGAAATTAATATAGAACTATGGTAAAATGTAAAAATTAAAAAGAAAATTAATTTAAAGTTATATTTAGACTGTATGCCAAATGCAAAATGTATTGGCCTAAAGGATGTAGACCACTGAGATAAAAACCGATAAGCTGGTGATGCAAACAGTAGTAAATTGTAAAAATGTAAGCAATTAACCCTTGTCTATATTTCAAATCAAATAAAGGAAGAGGAGTAACCTACGGTATATCACAATATGTTGAGCTGCCTGTGAGACGATATGCCTTTTCACATGAGGAAGTCTTAAGTTAACAAAAGTCTTTCATATCCTTCTTCATTCAGTAGTCACATGTTTGCTTTGCATATTGAACACTTCTAATTGGTTATTAAGGCATTTCATTCACTTTTACCAAAAAAGGTAATGAAGAAGACGTTGCTTACAGTTACCACTTATTTGGGGCAAGGCCATTTATTCATTTAAAACTGACTTTGACATTTCACTGGTGTCTGATCAATAATCTAAAATAGACTATTTTAGGACATTAAATTAAATTAAGAGATTTTTGCCAATGATACTGCAGATAATAGACAATAAGGAAGATGGAATTAACAGACTTTTTCAAAATGAGCCCTGAAGACCAGAGTTTAGTCTATAAAAGATACAGACTATAGCTTCCAGGATCTTTTGACAGAAAGGGTAGAATTTCCTTCACTGTTGTGAATGTAGGGGAAATATTCCTTAATTTGATTTCAAATGTAGCCTTTATTCAACAACAAAAAGAAACAGGTAAGAGGTAAGAGAATCAGATATGTCAAACCAGTAGACATAACAGTCTCAGAAGTGAAGTATGTCACACAGTCTCATCTGTGCAGCGCCCCCTGCATTGATGTTTGCAGTGCGCTGGCGTGCAGGCGGACGTGCATGCACGCGAGCAACAGATCCGAGCGCATGCGCAATTCATTGTTTTGACTGAAAATGCCGTCGGTTTCGAAAACGGCGGCCAATGCGTCCCCTCAAACCGAGAAACCTACCCACTATACGTGAGTAAAGCTACTGCAGAGAAACAACTAAATCGCTTTTTGCCGAAAGCGTTATTTGCACGTGCACCTATACGCGGTTTCATTTCTTGCATTCCTCAACTATTGTGTGTGTTACAAACATGGTGCTTTTCCTGGCTTTGTGACTACCTAACGTTGCATAGCAAACAGCGACTGCACGCTAACGACATCAACCCTAATGTAGGAAACACGGGCGTCTTCAATCACTTAATAGACAAGCCAGTCCTTAACGGAATCGTGAACAGTTGTTTTACAGACTTGAGGAAGTGTTTTGAATAATCCGTTGAATGTTAAACCGTCAACTCGGTCTGCTAAATTATTAGCCAGGAACTCGCTACCCAGTCTGCTTGTAAATAGCTCGGCCTTATTTTGAGTTCCTTCTTGCTACGCACATTTATAGACGTACGCTCAGGGACTTTCAACCAGTGTTACGTCGAAATACGTACGTAGTTTGCTCTTTGAATAGCGAGCTAACGCCAGTGACCCAAAATATATAGTAGGCTAAACTACTAGCAGCATAAAACGGCATCTGTCTCTGAACTAATTCCTTGCCTTTTTCTTATTTCTTAGTTAATAATTATTGTAAAACCCGGTTCCTGATGCATTTTATTGGTTTTCTCTTGTTTCAGATACTTGAAGGAGTTCAGGACAGAGCAGTGCCCGTTGTTCCTCCAGCATAAGTGTACGCAGCACAGACCCTTTACGTGCTTTAATTGGCATTTTCTCAACCAGCGGCGAAGACGACCCATAAGGAGAAGAGACGGAACTTTTAACTACAGCCCCGACGTGTACTGCACGAAGTACGACGAGACCACAGGCATTTGCCCAGATGGAGATGAGTAAGTCCCTGTTGTGTCAGTGTGTCACGATACAGCTGCTGACAGATGGCTGATGTTTTGCTGACATATTTGGGATGATCATCCTCGAGCAATCAGGACATTTCCTCAGTGGTAGTGTTTCTGTTTTAAATGGCGTTGGGGTGGGATGTGTCTTCATTAAGAGGAAGTATGTGGATATACCTCTGGTTTCTTTGTTAAAGTAGTACTTAATTGCTTCATATTATGAGTTTTATTGTGACTGAACTTTTAATTGTGTTCTGTATTTTAGTCTAACTACTATGCAGCTAACTGTTCTGTATCAAGGATTTTGTAGAGGACTGAAAGCCTGTGTTTTTATGTTATGTTTGAGGGTCATTCTTATAGATTAAAACGTTATCTTAATTTCACCAGTGGGCTGTGGCTACAGCAGCACAAGTGTGTAGGATAAACAAGCTCTCTGATTAATGGCAAATGTGCACATTAGCCTTGCTGGGCCTGAACTGGGGTTATAAAATGCCAGTCTGGTTGTAAAAAGCCAATTTGATGCAGGGACTGTTTATTTTAAAATGACCACCAAGAAAGGACTGTGCTTTTGTAATCAAACATTTGCAGCAGTGAAAAGAGTACTCTAAAGGTACGATGGATAGCAATATTGCAAGGGCCACTTCTTTGCCCTTTTTCTTGTTGCATGCATTCTCTAATGTAGAGTACCAACTAAGTGATCAGCCACCATTCTGATTGAATTCACCGTTTACCCACCTCTTTGTCTGAGATAAGGCTATTTGACAGTCTCTGGACGCCCTCCAGCGTTATATAGCATTACTGTTAATTTCAGCTAATGACAAGGTGTGACTTGATGCATAAATATTTTACTCCCATGCTTCATAATTTAAGAAAAATGTCTGTTCCCCACAGTGTTCCTACAGGAAGATACCAATTTAGTTTGTGTTTTGCACATAACATCGTTTGTCCTCTGTCATCACGGGAAGAAAAACGGTTTCTAAACACATGCTTTTGGCTTTAGAGGAGTCAAGCATTTTCATAACTATTGAGTAAACTGTCTAGTCACACAGAAACTAGATATGTGAATTCTCAAAAGGTGTGGCAATGGTTTCCCCCTTTTAATTTTCAGCATGTAGAAAATGACAGCAGCCTCTATGTGACTGGGAATTAAATATGGCACAGCATTTAATTGAGTCCCACATAGAAATAAAAAAGATAATTGAACTAATGTAAAATTAATGACTGCAATGCAATCCTTATAATTCCTCCTCTGCCAATGGCAGCTATTTTTGTATGACCTTATGTGTTGCTATAGCAACTGTTGCTGCTCAAGAAAGGAAAACTGGTTTATTCAAGGCTTATTGGCCATACATGTCTTGAGGCATTGCTGGTGTGTCAGCGCTGCATTCACAGTAGAATCTTATTGCTCACTAAACATGTGTACAACTATAAGAATTTCTTCCTTTTATTAGAATTGATTATCCTCATGGTTTTCTAATGAATTGTTTGGACAGTGTTTTAAACAAAACACGCTGCCTGCACAGACATTTTAAAGTTGTACTTATATCATAAAGAGGAGCATTCAATTTAAAACATAATTGTGCTTCATGTTTGATAAGGTTTTGGCATTTTTTGTTCATTATTTTAATGTCATGCCAAATCAGTTGTTATTCAGATGTTTTATCAACTGATGTAATACATTTTAATCTTGTTTCCTTCTTTCCTTAGCTGTCCTTATTTACACCGGACCACTGGTGACACAGAGCGCAAGTACCATCTACGCTATTACAAGACTGGCACTTGTATCCATGAGACAGATGCTCGAGGGCATTGTGTGAAGAATGGCCTCCACTGTGCTTTTGCTCATGGGCCACATGATCTCCGACCTCCAGTCTATGATATCAGGTGACACAAAGCAAATAGTGGCCTCTCTTTTCCCTGCCAAACTTTTCACTCATAAGCCTCACAGTGGAACGGACAAATCAGCTAATTTAGGCATAATGTAAACAGAATTCCTTTTTTGTGGGGGGTGTAATGGCTCCGCAGACTCATGGTTTGATTTGTAACTTTGTTTTTAGGGCTTGGCTCAGTAAATGACAAATAACAATACAAACATCAGATGCTAGATAAACATGTTTTATTGAGAGGTGTGTGTGTGTGTGTGAGAGATAATATTTCAATTAATATTACCGTGTTGTCACACCTGCCTATGACTAATATTATGACAACATATGTCAGATGCTCCATGCTCTAGTATAAGGTGTCACTTGGCTTTTTGTTTGTCAAAGTATTTTGAGATTTGGGTTTAGCAGATATCATTTGAAACAACTGGAATTTAGCGTTCTAGTATTTTTAACAATTAAAGACAGCAAGCAAGTTTCTTTTTAACAGCACAATAAGTTTAAGGATGTTCAACCACAGTTTTTGTTGTTTGTTTTTTTAATTTGGGGATACAATTAACGTTCATTTCATGTATACAGAGAGATCCAAGCACAAGAAGCTCTTCAAAATGGGCAGCTGGGATCTGGTGAAGGTATTCCTGATCTGCAGCCTGGCGTATTAGCCAGCCAAGCTATGATTGAGAAAACTCTGACAGAAGACCCCCGGTGGCAAGGTAAGTAACCCCACTCTGATGAGAGTGGGCTCATGTAGTGCTAAATCACTTTTTAATGTCCTGCAAAATAAAAATAAAAAGTACAGTAATACTTTGTCTTTTCTTTTGCAGATACCAACTTTGTTTTAGCCAATTATAAAACAGATCAGTGTACTAAGCCACCAAGACTATGCAGACAGGGCTACGCTTGCCCCCACTACCACAACAGTAGAGACCGAAGACGAAATCCTAGAAAGTTCAAATATAGGTAAGATGTGGCTCAGTTGAAGGCAAAATAAAAAATGGTTTTAAGTTGTGTAATTGCAACGGATTAAAGGTTCTGACTCTATGAATGCAGGTCAACTCCTTGCCCTAATGTGAAACATGGGGATGAATGGGGCGAGCCCTCAAAGTGTGACAGTGGAGACAGTTGCCAGTATTGTCACTCTCGCACTGAACAGCAGTTTCACCCAGAGGTGAGTGATTTTTGTTTTTCTGAAAATGATGTATTTTTCTGCCTGTCTATCTATATCTCTTTTATGTCTTGTTTATTTTTATTTGTTAAATGAGCTGTTTTATTGTGGGTTGGACTGCTGTATACGTGCAACGTGACATACATTAGATCACAGCAGACGTAAAAATGTATCGACAGCGTGGGCTCTTTTACCCAAGCCTTAAAACTGACTCGCTACCAAAACAACCATAATAAATATAATACATAGTCTGAAACTGTTGTTGTTGACTTTGTAATCTTGCCACAAGTCCAAGATAATGTATTTATGAGGTTTTATTGTTTTGTTAATGGCATTGTTGCTCTTCTGATTCTGAACACTGTGGCTTATTAGTTTTTCCAAAGGCAGACACCCTAACTTTCGATCTCCTTGGGATGTGATTTGTTTTTCCTTTTCTTTAAGATCTACAAATCTACCAAATGCAATGATATGCGACAAACTGGATACTGTCCCAGAGGGCCGTTTTGTGCGTTTGCACATGTAGAAAGTAAGTGAAAGTTTGTAAATACTGTCTCAGTACTCAAGTTGAGAATTACTAGTCTATGACATTTGTAGTTCTTTTTTGAGGTAAGGTAATTTTATACATTTATACATTTAGACATTTCTTGGTTTTTCCAAATTTTAAAATCTGCATTCTGGGTGATTTAAGATTTAAACACAGCCGCAATGATTAATGTTATTAGAGATTGTATATGATGATTTTAATATTCATTTTAATACTTTCAGGAATTCCATCTACAGAAGAAACCATGAGCTCATTGCTAACAGCGATACAGTCAAGTTCACAGTCCCAGATGGGCTCTCAGCAGTATTCAGAATGTCCGGTCAGCGAGTGGAACAGTGGAGGCAACTCCACCACCAGCTCAACCAGTAGCAACGGACAAGTAGGAAGTGTATGTTTTCCCAGTACTTCAATTGGAAATGTGTCACAATTAACTTAACCAGGGCACTGGATTTCAAGAGTAGACTCATTTCTTAAAAAGTTATAGACGCCTGCTTTTGTAGCTACATAAATCACAATACAGCTGATACAAATCAGCCATTTACTTCGATATGTTGTTTACTCTGCTCTCATTTTTTGTTGGCATGTTTTTTACACTTTAATTTGTCATTATTACTATTTTCTTTTACTGTTTTACATTTCTACATTTGTCATTGAAAGCGATATTTAAGATATAAGTCATCGCTTCCATAATCCATTCAGAATAATGGTTTTATTTATTAAGTTTTGATCATTTTTATTAAGATCATGTGCACTTCTCTTTCTCAGGTTTCATGTTCTAATAGCTCAACTGTAACGCCAAGCTCAGGAAGCGACAGTTTGTTATCCCCAGTGGGATCCATCAGCAGGCCCAAATCCTTAACTAATAGTAGTTTATGTTCAGAGTCCACCACATCCAGTGTCTCCTCTCTGACGTCTAACTATCCTAAAGCTCCGGGCTTTGAACGTGAGGATCAGGTACACAGTCTGCTCTCTTCAGCTTAAGGAAGAATATAACACATAAACAGCTTAGGGCTTTACACTTAATGTATTTCTGCCATTCATTTTGAATCATTGTTTCATTTATTTCTCACTCATTATTTGCCATGTCAGTTTCATTTGATCACGCCTTTTTTAGGTCTCAGCTTTGAAATTTTTTCATGTGTTTTTCGTTTCTTAACAAAAACTCAATAGTATCTTATCACTTGATGAGAGTTCTTGAAATATGAAGAAGCTATAAAGTATCAAGTTTTTACCTGGGGTGATTTGACTACAATCAGACTGCCTAAAAAATAAGTTCACAAGGCATAAAAGGCCAGGGGTATTTGTAATCCTACATTAAGAATTCTCTTTAGGTTTCACTGTTTTCTGCTGTTGTAATCTGCTGTTGTAATTACAGACTTTACTTAGAGCTACAAGTGGCAGGCAGAGTCAGGTTACATGATCAGTTTACACACCTTGTGATCGGATGTAATTCAGTAGACAGTTACCACACAAATCATGACAAAAACTACTGAAAATCACGTTACCAGATACCAGGTAGCTCCATCGGGGCAAAGTGAATTAAGGTCGAAAAGTCTGTGTTTAATTAGAATATTTTATTTATGTCAGGTTGCTAATTGATATTGGCGGTCTGGGTGTAAGTTAGAGTTTAGTCACTAAAATGTGCCGTTTCTGTGTCATTCGATTATTTTTAGATTAAGAACAAGGGGCAGGATCAGAAATTGTTGGACCAAGAAAAACAGGTTTGTGTTTTGAAAAGGTTTCTTTGGGGAAATAGTGTAATCTTGATTTATGTTACATAGCATGTAATATATTTATTTAATTTGAAAGCCTTAACAGTAATTAACGACATTGGGAATTAAACAGCGTCCTTCTGTGTTTTCCTTTTAGACACAAAATACTGTATTCTCTGCGGTGAACCCTTTGGCATCAAGCTTTACCTCCAGTATAACATCCAGCTTGGCTTCTAGTATTGGCTCCGATAGCTCTTCACCCACCACCTTATCAACAATGAATGCAAAAGCCACTCCTTTCTATCCAGGGAGCAACACAGTGGAGTCTGTCATTGGTATGCATATGTAAAGTCAACTTTAAACCAGTTGAGCTGACTACTGCCTCCCTTTATTTTATTGTCAAATGTCAGCCAGATGTATTTTGTTTTCCTTCAGGATCCGCTCTGGATCTCAACTTCAGTGACATTAATGTTGCATCTCTTGATAAGGAGTTTGAGGAACAAGACAACAGTGTAGGACTGGCAAGTAAGGACACCTAGTTTGTTACTACTTTCAGTTTTTTGACCAGTTGATCACAAATGGCCTCACCATTTTTATTTACTTTATCCCCACAGGTCAAAGGGTGCTAGGTGGATCTGCTCCGGTTAACATTCCTGGCTCCCTGGCACGATCGTCGTCTTTTAATTCCTCGTCGTCACTCTCCACCTCCCCACTAAGCTCCCTCTCCCAGTCTCTGTCGCAGTCACTGCTGTCTGGGACGGTATCGCAGCAAAATCAACCTTCAAACATGTTAGCCAAGCAAGAGCATGGGCTTCTGGGAACACCCACCTCCTCTTCCCAGAACTCTTTGGGTAAGCTGATAGCATCATACATTCTGCTCACAAAGTGAGCGCTTCAGTATTGAGCACTCCTTCCACTTTACTTACATGTGTAATCCAGTATGCATAAATTAAGATGAGAAATTTGGCAATTAAACTTTGATTGTGCAGGAAACAACATTTTAGTTTAACAAAGTAATCCCTACAAAGAATAATCAATTTAGGATTGATTAAAAGAGTTTGAAATACCAGACAGCTGTGTGACACAGTTTCACACACAGCCTCTACCAACTGTTCACTTTGTGCTTGGTCTTCCTTGTGATTATAACTCATCACTCACCTAGGCTTGAATGGAGGTGCGAGCAGCATTTGGGACTTTGTAAGTGGCAGCTTTTCACCAAGTCCATCTCCAGTTTTCAGCAGCCTAACCTCCACAACCAGCACTGCTGATCTTGCTCGCCTTTTTAGAGAGCTGGACGAGGCCAAGAGGAAGATCAAACAATGGGAGGAGGCCTGGCATCAGGTCAAGCAAGTCAGTCTTTTAAATGAACTCTTATTATAGTGTATTTCTTAGAGCCTTTTCATAGATAGCATAGTTTTGTTTGTTTTTTAATCACAAGACTCAACTTTGTTCCAGGCCTGTGAAGCTTGCCAGAAAGACGCTCATGAAGCAAAGGAACATGCAAAAAAAGCCGAGGCAGAGCGGCAGCTGGCAGAACAGAAATGGGAGGAAACGGAGCGCAAGCTGAAAGAGCTCCAAGGGGACTTTGACGTGCTTTGTCGCACCCCTGGAACACCTCTTCTACGTAGCTATGGAGAGCTGGACCAGCTCCCCTTGTCAAAGCTTCACTCCATCCAGAATCAGCTGCGTAATGACCTAGACCTTATAGATGGGGTAAGGAAGACTAGATCACTCACCGCATTTCACTTGTAGCATCTACAATAGTTTTTAAAACGGTTTATCCAGCTATCATTCAGATCCACGTTTTGTCATCAAGCATGCTTATTTGAAAAGTCTGCATGAACTGTATTTTCCTAAGTTGCAGCTGATACTCATTCTTCTCTTCCTCAACAGGTAATATATCAGCTTCAGTCAAAGAAATGTATAGTTTGCCAAAAGCATGATCGTTGCATTGTTCTGCAGCCTTGCCAACATTATGTACTATGTGACAACTGTGCACCTAGTAAAACAGAATGTCCCTACTGTAGAACAAAAATATTGAAGTGGTGATGTACAATTACTCGAGGTACTATGTAAAGAATTAGCCCTTTGAAAAACTACTAATAGATATTACATTTTCTAAATAACAATGTCTGTTTCATACAGTGGTTGAATTAATTTAGAATAAAATGATGTTTGACTGACAAAACATAGTATTATGAATCAAATTGTGTACAGGGGTTTCAGTCATTATAGTATTTGCTCATTTTATGTGCACATTACCATGGCAACCAGATAGCTTTCTTTATGCAAATTAGAATATTAAATTACTTTGAAGATTTGAGAAAAGGCATCGCAATCAGGACTCGGGGCAGTCTAAAGGACATAAATGTGGTGTGGAGACATTTTGTTTATACTTTGTCATGAATTAATTTAGGCTAAACGCAGAATGTGGCTGCTTTGCCCAAACAAAATGCAAATATGCACTGCCAACCTGACATATTGCTCTTACCGTAAATACAAATTTTACAGATTTTTAAGAAAGAAAATGTAAAAACAGGAGCGTTAAACTTGGTTAAAAGCCGTATACACAAAGGCATTGATGCGTGTGAGTTCGTATTTCTGCCCTCATGTTCTGCTGTTTATGGATTCTTACTTCACTGTACTTGTGTGGATACATCTCTGATAACCTGAGGTTGCTCCTTCTGTACTTAATGCACTTAAAAGTCCAACCACAGCAAATTTTTAACAAGACATTTCCACCGCAGCTTTTCAGAAATTACTGCGAAAATTTGTGTAAAGGCAATAAAAGGTTGTAGTACATCACAGATTCTTGTGATTGAAGAAAGAAAACATACTCACGGTAACTATAATATTATATCTTAACTGAAAACAGATAGTTGTAGTTTTAAAAATGCACATAAAAGACTTGTCATACTGCAGGTCTTTAGGTAATTCTTCTTTCATTCTGAGGGTGGAACAAGTTTGATGTAGTATCCTTTGTAATAATATCAAAGGGAGTGGACCTTGAGCCCACTGACTTCCGTAGGGGAATTTGAAAATGAACATTTTCCCATTGTGGATCAAACAGTCCCACACAATTTTACAAAAATATAGACAAAGCCATTGTTGATATTTTACCACTATAGCTAGTGCCATAGGCATTCCAGGTTGGGATCTCAGATGCAAGGAAATCACTGTGTAGAGTTCACTTACACTTAACTAGTCCGGTGACGTTAAACATAAAATGGGCAAAACTCAAAGCAGATTTTTCTTTAATTAAAGAGGAATACTAAATCTAAATCAAAAAAATTCAGTTGGGAGGTTTGGGGAACAATTCAAGAAACCAGACATCCCAGAACCTGAATGTGACTGATACTAAATTCAGAAATCATATTTTTGTTTTAGCCTCACAGAATTCCAGAAAGAAGAAAAAAACCTTTGTGTACCTTTTACAGAGCTGTGTGTGAAATGGGTTGCTGATCAACTTCATTGTACCAGAAAATGCTTGAAAGTTTAGAAGCTCTGTGCTCTGAGGAATAAATACTCATGAATGATGAGAATATAGTAATCTTCTGAAGTATTGTTCATCAATAGAAACTAAATATGCAGATTCACATCCAGTGAAGTATTGGCGCTGATCCACACCTGTATCTATAAATCAGACTAACCAAGGAAGCAACAAAACACATAAATGCTGAGATTGTACAATGTTCCTCTTTAAGTAAAGGCACATTTTCTAAATAAAAAAACAAATTTTCATTAACATTTTTTAATGCAGCCAGTCAAGCATCATTATTTTGACCAACTTTCTGAAGAAGATTGATTTCTTACTAAAGCACTTTGTTGACCTGGGACTTTATTATTAAAGGGTATATAGAAATTTGCTTCAAGCTGCTTTGTAGATGTTCTTTTGTGTCTTTTTTTAGATTTATAATTTTTTTTTTCTATATAAGCTAATGTCTGAAGCTTTTGTGTGTACTGTGAAACATCATTTGAATATTTCATATTTCCTATTAACTCATGGCATGGATCTACATATTAAGGTTTCATAGAAAAGTACTTAATAGTTTCTACTTTCATAGTTAGATTTATAAAATTTCAATCAAATAAGTGCAAATTTAAAATGCATTTTAGGCATAACCAGCAGCTGTAATATCAGTAAGGCACATGCTACATGTTAAGGCTGTTATTCAATCAGTTAGTTTTGTTTTGTAGAGACTTATATAGCTTAGCCATTAGAGAAGCATGTATTGTATTTGCTAAAAGCCTGAGATGGTGATTTTTGTAGAAATCTAGCCTCTTGACCTTGTCTAGAACATATCGGCCTCTAACTCTAAAGTGCCTTGCCTTAGTTGAAAGGTTATGTGTAGAATTGTCAGAGCAAACACAAGTAGTTGAAGCTTGTCCACAGGTTTCTGCATAACATGTCTTGTTTAACTTTGCAGAAGCATCGACATGTGTATGACTATATGTGTATATATAAATATATGCCAGTGTATTTGGCCCAATCCCATTCAAGTATTTTGGCAGAAGATTAAAAACAAACAATTGTCAGTACCTGTGGTCCTGACTTCAACCTTTAGAAATTAACCTCTCTTCTCCCCTCCCACTCATTCCTTGGCCGTGGTGCTCTTTTAGTGCAGCTTCAGTCTTTGAAATTAGGTTTTTCAATTTAACATTTGGGAGTGTTCAAAGAGAGTGAATTTGTATAGCAACATATAATGCTGTTTAAACAGTTGAGTAACTTTCATTTGTTTTTATTGTTATAATTCAGCAGTGAATGAAGAATTCCGTAGTTAACTTGTAAGTTGGATTCTGCTTAGGATTTGTGCTTAGGTTCCTCTAATTGAAATGACCTTCTACTGTGTTAAGAAATCTTTGTATTTTTGCTTTAAATTCAATAGAAATCATGTATCTACAGGTACACCTTTTGCTACTTATATGGGAAAATGCATTGTTTACATTCTCATAAATGACAATTAAGCAACTCAGAGGAAAAATATCAAGAGAGGTTGTGGTATTTTAGCATTTTCATGATTATATTACTGCATAAAAGGCAACCTAAACACTTCTGGTATTGCATGTTATGCGATATATTAACCAGCTACAAAAAAAAGAAAAAAAAAAGTCCGCACTGTGTCACACTGCCAGAATATTTGTATTGACTTATTTTTAGTGTAGTAAAGGCTTAATAATTTCCGCAAGCTTCGCTGCTACTGGAAAAGGTATTAATGTAGTTTCTTGTTATACATTTAGATGTTTGAATGTTGTTATGCATCCACAGCTCAGATTTCAGAAACTGAAATAATCTGTCTTCTGCTCGACTAAATCTTAATTTGATTGAATTATTCATTTGTAAATGCATTTGAGTCAGTTTCAGTACTTTTATGTCACATAGAATGATGTCACAGACCTGTACTGCTGTAGATTGTCCCCTTTTTTATTTTTAAATGATTGAAGGTAAATGTATTTTCCCCTAACACTGGATAGCAGTGTACAGTGCAGCTAATTTCACAGGATTCTCTATTCTATTTTGTGTTGCCTGTGAAGCCAACTAAAATTAATGATGTCTAGTCAGTGTGATAATCTAAAAATGAACCAAAGTCGTGTTCTAGTAGCTGTCAAAAAGCTGGCAAATTTGTATTCTAAAGGGAAGATTTACCCTCGAACACAATTCAAATAAATGCTGAGGTATCGGACAGACGAGCCTGTAGTTGTGAACAGAGCCGGCTCTTGCCCAAAAGTTATAAATGGCAGGTCAGAGTACCAAGGCCATCCAGACGAAAGAGAGAAAACGTCCAGCATCTTGTGGCAAGAATTCTGGGTTTGGATGGATTTTTGCATAGATATTTCATTCAGTAGGCCATATATCCTCATAGTGAATAAACAACACGACTATGGTAATGGATTTTGCTTACATTAATGGACTTGAGCCCAATTTTTGCAGTTTTACCAAAGACCTGTACTGTTGTTATTTCTTTTGTACTACATTTCATCATTTTGTTTTATTTCAATAAGAAACCTAAATTGATTTTAAAAAGTAATCACCTAGTACCTTAAATAGATAATGTTCATTAATAGTAATTAATGGCATCTTTTTCTAAATCTAAAGTTAGCTATAGTGAGTTGATACACAAATTATAAAAAAAAAAAAAATGCATGGGTCAGATCCTTACAAAATGTGTATATGTATATTTGATTTTGTGTTAAGTATACATCGACGTTTATGGCAGGTTTGTGCAATACTGACTAGCACATGCTGACCTTAAGCAAGAATTTGGTGTCAGTTTAATTGTTATCTACAGTGAAGGAATGTGAAGGTGAATGACATTTGTGCTTCTGAAGTGGCCATATAAACTTCACAACTACTGTTTTGAAGTTTTTATTTTTTATTTTGCTCAACTACATTATCTCAATCACAAATTGATGGTTATGCATTATATGCTGTTATGATAGGCCTACAGGGACTGTAAGGTGCTTTCTTTATATCTGACTATTTGTTTTCTATTTCTTAAAGCCGTGGTCCAAATTAGTTTTTTTCTTTTTTGTTGTTGTAAAATTACAGGAGACAGATGATGATTGTCACAAGCATTAATGGCAGATACAGACATAATTAAAACTGAGTTATTGTTATGGTAATTTGTTATTGGCCCTTTAATCTCTCCTAGTGGTCTACTTGCCCCAATTCAAGTTTTCTAAAAAATAAATGAAACAAACTTCACTTGGTAAGCACAGCTTACATTTCTTTACATGTGTTAAATTTATCTCTTAACAGACCAATAACACTTTCAAGTACATTTGTGCCTTTAATAGTGTTAATTGGTGTCATGAGAATACATCTCTGAGACAGTTTTTTTTTTCTGTCAGTCTGATGAAAAAATGTAACATGTTTAATTAGAATCAAAATTCCAGTGCCTTACAATATTTTTGTGGACCACAGTGTGATTTCTAAATGATCCTTTTGCATTCAGGCCACTGGAATCTCTGAGATTTTCTTCACCAGTTCCACAGGCAGTTATAATTGACTGATAATCGTTCATCTCAGCCTGTATTTGCCATAAAATTCAAAAAACACAGCAATACTTAACCATTGAATACACAATTTTGATCTCAATTAGTCATTTGGCACCAAAAACTCAATTGTTTGTAAGGAAAAGCACCAAATAGGAAGACTCTTGTAAATGAACTGTAATAGATGTATCATTATGCTCTGCAATGGAATAGTTTAATCTATTTTGCATTATTGTTAGTTGCTGTGTTGTCTTTTTGTTTTTAATATTATGAAAATGGAGCCTGAAGATTTATGCAATCTTGTACATGTATATGAGTATGATGTATGGAGATGTTCAAATTAAGTGAAATACTAGTACAAGTGTTGTCAAAAGTAAATAATCTGAATGTGGAACCAGTTGTTCCATAAACTTTAGGAAAGTTCTGTAGAAATGTTATTTTAACATTGAAGCCCTGAAATATTGAATGTATTGTTCTAAATTAGATATTCAATGAATAGGTCACTGGATATTATGGAGCGCAGTTAATTCATTATGATGTAGCATCTAGTTGTGAACTGCTATTCAATAAAAATTTATTAGAACTAAAACAAATGCAAGTTTTCAAGTTTCTATTTGTCAGCATAATGCAGAAATATAAAGAGAGAAATGTGCTTTTCTCAGGGTAATACAGTGATTTAATAGAGAATGAGTTAAATCTGAGGAAACTGCATTTCATGGATTTATTAACTTAAATGTTAGTGGGTTTAGAAATAATTTATAGATTTAAAACATACGTCCCTTATTTTGTGACAAGCTGTGTGAATATGTAGGAAATTCTCTACTGATAATCGTAGAAATTATTCTGTTGGTATATTGATATTTTTTGTGTTTTGAACACAAAAATAGGTGCAAGTCTTAGAATACTAGATTTTTCTTTTCTACATTGAGGATTGTGTACCGCATATATTCTGTAGTGTACTACTAGTTTGTTAACACTTGTTCAATTGTTACACTACAGTTATGCAATGGTTTACAGAGTTCACAAAATTATTTTTATCATCTTGAAAATTAAAATAATTTTTCATCTGAAATGTGTGAATACTTTTTGTCTGAAACACAACTTGCAGAATAAAGTTTTTAAAATACTGTTTGTGCCTCAAGTCAAATGGAGACAGGAAAGGAAAAGTGAATATTTATTACATTGCAGTGACTTTCAGAATATTGCTATCTAGAACAGATATTTCCTGAACAATGGGAATTAGAAGACATTTTTCAGAGCAGACACGAAAATTCCAACTGAAGCTTGTACATGTGCACATATTGGAACTTTATGGCACAATAGTGTGACAGCTCTCGGGAGACAAGGCATCAAAAAGGTAGCATATCAGCTGCTTTGCCTGGAGGACAGAATGCAACATAAAAAAAATTCAAATGCGACTTGTTGACTAACAACAAAATGACATTTTGTGTCACAAAATCTTAAATCTTCACGCAGGATTATATGAATGAACCTTGAAGAAAAAGCTAAATCAAAATAATGATTTACCTCTTCCTCACTGTCGGGGTGGATAATCCTTTTCCCCACTTTTTCTAGGGCTGAGTTCTCCTTGTAAATGCTAGTGTAATAGTGAAAGGCACAGGGAAAAGGAAAACGTTTATATGTAAATATTCTACATGTTCCCACAACATGTGTTTGAGTCTTTTTCCATACCTTTCAAGGATCAAGTTAAAACTGGCCACAATTGCCTCTCCTTGCAGAGCCATGATGAGACAGACACAGGGTGCCATGTAAAGATGAGCCATCTTTTAAGGACACAAAAGAATCAAGAGAAAATCAACTGCTGATTGCTCGCTGTAAGACAAGAGGCTCTAAAGAAACTTATTTCAAAGCCAAATTTCTCACTCTCTCATTTCTCTGTGATATTTTCAGCGTGTCAGCGATATGGTTCCTCTGCTCATTATCCAGTATGCTCATCCTCCCTGCCACTAGGTGGCAGCCTGACCTCAGCAGCGGCTCCAGCATGTCCAGCTGGGATGGCACCTGGCTGAGCATTTGTGGAGCATTTAAGGGTATCAGCAGACAGGTTGTCTGCCAGAGAGCACTGTGTATCAGGGACCCTGGCACAAATAAACAAGCAAAGCAGGACATTTGTTTTCTGCATGGCTTACAAAGGTCATATTTCAACATCCATTCCATAGGGGTCCCTGCCAAAGTCACAATAAATGATTAAATAATTTATGGGGACACGTTTTACTTTAATAAATGATTGAACCATGCAATGTTCAGTGCTTTGAGTTCAGAGTGATAGAGTGAAATGTTCCTGTGATTATGAGTGCACCACAAATGCAACCAGAATATACAGCATAGCCTAGTTCTGCAGAGTTTACATCATTGCACAAAAGTTATCATTACATATAATCGCCTGTTTATGAAAATAAAACCAGTCAAGTAGTCCAAACCTCCATTTGGGCCTGATGCCATCGAGGGTGACAGACTATCCTGATCCACAGGGGCCAGTGTACACCTCTGTTCACGCTCCACAGAGGCTAAGGGGTCTGAGCACATGCTGAGTATCTGAACCTGAAGAAACCAAGTACAAACACAGAATGTCTTTTATCAGTCAGAAGTACAACCCAGGTACTAAGCCTTTTCTGTGACATGCATACCTGTTCCTGTCTCTTTGTGCTGGTTTCAGTACAGCAGAGCCCCTCTGGAAAAAGCCTCTTCACATCCTGAATTGCTTTCTGATATGATCCAGATCCTAACACAATATAGTTACCAAAATGTTAAACACGCATTTAAGCATACACAGAAATCCTGTTCTTGAACGTGTGCTAGTGTGCAGTACAGGGTACTGACCATAGATGCCATTGTATGAATGAGCCATGCCATAACAGGTCGTCCTGAGGGATGAGTCCTCTTGGCCCAGGACATCCAGCAGCATCCTCACAGCATTCTCCCCCTCCAGGCAGAGAGCCAGTGATGAGCCAGAGCACAAGTATTCCACATGGGCCTCCAAGTCTGAGGGGTCCTGCAAACATCATTGAACATTGAATTATCAAGGCTTATGGTTGCATGAAAGGAAAGCTTGTTTTTCAGATAATCCTTCTCACTTACACCTTCGGCAGGCAGTAGTGAGGTAGCGATGCTTTTGTCCAGGGTCACTACACGGAGGCCCACCAACGTGAGGTCACTCAGCAGGAGTTTGCGGACTATTTTAGCCAGAGAGTGATTCCAGGTTCTTGGCTTGAACAGGCACACGGTGAGCAGCATCTGTGGATCTGAACAGAAAGTTCCCAGTATTTAAGTAATATTTTGAATGTTCAATATTATATTCATTACTTGCAGCATTTAAACGTTATAAAACAAAATTCTTTCATTAAAAGATTTAGCTTTTGATTATGTAAAAAGCACAGAAACTCCAACTTAGATCACAGTGAAACATCAATATGATTATACAGTTTGCAACTATGATACACAAAAAAACTGAGCTGCATGAAATATATTACAAACTGTGTGTGCTGTATTGAGCCTATGAGCCTGGAAAGGATGGGCAAACCTTTTGCACTGCTGTTGTCGGGAAGACACTTCAGAGGTGGGTGTATGCTGTAGTCTGTTGGGGAAAGAAGTGGAGTGATGAGACTGTTCCCAGCTTATACACACAAGACTGTCTGCCCTTTTCTCCTTAAATGTTGTGACGGCCTCAAATACTTCAAACAAGAGATGTGATTTTAGACATGGCATCCAATTGCATGTTTTATACAGCACTCAACAAACTTACCACAAATCATCTCGTGCTCAAAGAAGAAGAGGGAGGCTTGTCTGAAAGCCACTTCAGGTGTGGGTGACATCAGGACACCGAAGTTAGCGGGGTAATCGTGTGGTAGGAGCTTCCTCAGTGAAGCAAGAGCATTCAAGCGTCTAAGAGAACACACTAAGGCTGGAGAGGACATCAGTTGATCCAGGCTGTCGTGACACAGCTGCTCTCCCACCTCATATGGGCTCAGTTCCTGAGCCTGAAATTGAGTCAACGCAGGCAGATACTTCAGGCCAAGCAGCTCGAATCCTCCGTGTTGTTCATTACCTTGAATATAAATTTAAAAAACAATGCAATTATTGAAACATAAGGGGGAGAGGATGAAATAATTCACTCACATTCACACTAATTTATTCATTAAACTGTGCAGGCTGCACAGTGTAATTTGTTTGTTTACTGCCACTTCCCGTTCCAAAGCCCAGGACCGGCTGTGTTCTCAGAAATACAGCTGACCTTCACCCACCTCCTGGCCCTTCTGTCAGCACTCTGTGTAGGAGGCTCAGGCCTTGGCTCATGTCCTTCCCACACAAGGTCAAAATCACCACCTGCTCCATGTCAGAGCTGGGTGAATGCTTCTGATGCAACAGGATCGCACTGGAAGGATCTGGCACTGCCCACATACACCTAACTAAAAAGAAAATATACATAAGAAACATAAAGGGAAGCAGAAGAGGGGCTTCTACTAGAATCAGACACTGAACACACAGTGCTTACCAAACATATGGGACAGGTAACTGCTGTAAGGCACAGTGTGGAAACAGAAGCTTGGCTCTGCTGTGTGAACACCATCAAGTCTGGTGTGGATGCAACCCAGAAGCTTTTCTGCCTTAAATTCTCTCATTAGGGCTGAAACATTATGGTAACTGCAAGGTTATTTTATTGACACGGAATAACTTGTGAATGTAGACTGTTGAGATTATTACCTGCACATTTTTACTTTCCATATAATTTATGGAGAGGATTTATGCTGTAGATTATTATTATTATTTTTATATAACTTGAGATGAGATTTACACCTGCTGGAAGGCTAAAACTGTGGCGCATCGCATTTTCTTTCCTCAGTAACAACACCAGACAGTGAGAGGGTAACTCCAGCTCCTTCTGATCCAGTGTCACAGTATGTGGACTGCAGAACACAAGTGCCTATAGAGAAAACAAGATACGTAGGCTTCAAGACTGTGATGAAAAACAGAAGGAGAAATCTGTGTTTCTTTAGACCCAAGCAGCTGGAATATTGGCCCACAGTTAGAAATGTATTTGATGCAAAAAAAGTATCAAGATCACAATTACAGCTAAATGTTCCATTATTATTATTTAAACACCAGCTCCAAGGTCTAAGAACCAAAATCCATACTCATTACCACCTCTATACTTGTCTCCAGTAAATGGTGAAATTCAAAATATATTATCATTAAACACTCAATTATTAACTTTTGTCATGAGGTTCATTACAATTGTATCCTTCAACATGCTGTTCTTCTGTAAGTTTGAACTCTCTGACTGACTATCTTGTAGTTCTACCTGCTGGTTGGTGAGTCCAAGGACTGCAGCTCCGTTGCTCTGAAGCTGCAGCCTCTGCAGCCCCCTCAGACTGAAGCCTCTGCGTTCACAGACAGACAGCACTTGGCCGTAGCAACATGGAGGCACGCCAGGCGACACCACAAGGAGTATGTCAGCTACGCAGGAGGAGAGAAGGATTAGCAGTTCCACTCAAGTGAATTTTTGATCCTTGCTACAAACAAAATTTCCCTCAGGACAGTATAGATTAAAGTTGAAAATGAAATGTGGAC